GTCTTACGCACCAGTGCTTTCGAAGATGGAAGAAAAGTTGAAGAACATAGCACCTATGCTGAAATGCAGAAAACACTTAGAAAGGGACTTTCCTGCGAACTTTTGAGATATTAGATTAAGAACACTTTTGAGCTGAGAAAAAAAATAATTTTTACGCTACTATGAACACTTCAAAGATTTCCCAAATGCTCCTAAGAAGTTGACCTTTGATACTGAAAAGTTTTCAGAGCCAAACCCGCACACAAACACGCTGATAATTCCTTGTTCAAGACGATCTCGTCTACAATGTAGTTAGTATGCTTACGAATGTTATGTTATATATGGGCTAAAGTGTACGTTTGTCAATAAATCTTCGTTGTTGGATGTAATGTTGCTTCGATAAAGAAATCTTCTTGTTCACTGTCATAGAAATTACATAGACAAAAGAAAGCTCCGTAGCACATAGGTTCCCCGCAAACATCACAACACTAATCATTGTTCCTCTTCATGCCACTTTTTCTTCTTCTCAGGTGGTAGTTCCATGTCGGCGAACAACTGGGCTTGTAATTCCTCGTAGCTCATCGTTGCGATGTCTAAAAAAAGTGGCCATAAAAGTACAATAAGAATCAAAAACAGATCAAATTTCAAAAAATTGACTCACTTGCACGTTTGTCATCAACATCAGTCTTTTTCGCATCTTCAGTTGGTGGTTGGGGTGGGATTATCCAAGTACCTAAAAGTCGTAATTCGTAATTGTTAATAGCCATGTCGCTATGAATATCCTGCCAGCTCTCCAAATTCTTTAATTTCCATGCCCTGTACACCGAGCATTCAAAAATCCAAAGTGATCTCGAACGAAGTTCTCAGTGAGGGAATTAGCATGACTTATGAAAATCTTTCAGAGACAGTTTTGAAAAACAATTACTGTTATCCTTCTGAGTGAAGCCTGACAGTATCACGCGCGCAGAGGGCTTAGCGAGAAGCATTTCATGTCTAACACACGAGGTCTTAAGATGTGAATGATGTGTATATATGTCCAAGCATGGGAGCTCGCGAAGTGATGTACAGCTTCATACAGAGCGCTCCTAGATTA